AGTAAACTTCAGAGGAGAGAGACCTGATTAACTGTAAAGAAGACAACACATCTGATTGTGAACTCCTCATCACTGGAGTGTTCTAGAAGAGGCTGGAGGATGACTTGCTGGGAAAGCTCAGGTTGAACAGAGGGCCAAGTTTGGACTTGGGTTCTTTAAGGCTCCTTCTAGATTTGCAACTCTAAGTGCCAGGCCTTGAATACAAAATTCCTGGTTCACCAGTTTGCCTGGGTCAACCTTGCCTGTAGATTATTGTGGTTTATGAGAATCAGTCGAGGTCTGTGTAGAATTTTCTGAAGCATCAATAATTCAGTTGCATTAAGCTCTGAGGCAGAGCCAGTAACAACAGGTTTCAAGAAGTTTAGTTCAATCCAAAGAAAAACTTCTCCTGGAGCACTAACTTCCAAATTCGGGGTCACAGCTATTCTAGGAGTCAAGTGTTGGGAACATATTACCTGGGCCGCCTATTACCTGGGTGAACATATTACCTGGGTGGGCATCTTTGGGAAGAGCTAGCTCTTTGTGGTAGGGGGATGGACAGTGCCTACAGAAGTGGGGTCAGTACTCAAACCCTTTATTCACATTCAAGGGAGCAGGTGAGGGAGAAAAGATGGAGAAATTATAATAGCTGATTAGAAACTCTATAAGGATCATGTATCAGTGACTTGATTATGCAAATTACTTCATTAGACAAAAAATATTCTGTTTTGTTCACTTTTAGGAAAAAGAAAAGCATCATAAGAGAGCAAAATGACATTAGAAATATATTTTCTTTAATCTACTTGATGAGAAATTATTTACAATAAACTGCATCTATTTCAAGTATACAATGAGTTTGACAGTTGTATACACCCATGTCACAACCACTACAATCAAGATACAGAATATTTCCTTACCTTCAAAAACTTCCCCATGCCACAGTCAATTCTTCACCCATGGCTACAGACAACCACTGATTTTCTTTTCTTCACTATATGTATGGAGTCTTCAAAAAATTCATAGAAAATGCATATTTTGGAAAAACTATGATGGATTTAAATTTTTTCTGCACCAAAATAAACTTTTACTAGCTAGTTATAACATATCTGAACAGGATCTAGTTTGAGGCACTAAGAAGGATAAAAAAGACATCAGTTTGAAAGACTCCCTATCACAGTAACATGAATTCTGCTAAAATTCAAGCAAGAACGAACATCCGCTTGATGCTGAAGCTTGGGTGGAGGAAGGGTGAAATCAATGATGCTTCACAAAATGTTTATGGAGGCAATGCCCCAAAGAAATCCACAGTTACAAATGGATAACTCATTTTAAGAAGGGACAAGATGATGTTGAAGATGAAGCTTGCACTGGCAGACCATCACATCAGCTTGTCAGGGAAAGCATAATCTTGTTCCATTCTAATTGAAGAGGACTGATGATTAACAACATGAACAATAGCCAACACCACAGACATCTCAATTGGTTCAGGTTACACTTTCTAACTGAAAGATGCCCACATAAGCTGCAGCCAAGAGCAGAGCTTTCAATGGACATTTTAAACAGTGGGATCAAGATCCTGAAGCATTTCTTTGAAGAATTATAAAAGGAGATAAAACATGGCTTTACCAGTATGATCCTAAAGACAAAGGACAAGCAAAATAATGGCAACCAACAGGTGGAAATGGTCCAGTCAAAACAAAATCAGATCAGTCAAGAACAAAGGTCACAGCAACAGCTTTTTTTGGGGGGGATGCTCAAGGCATTTTGCTTGCCGACTTTCTGGGGGTTCAAATAATGATAACATCTGCTTATTATTAGAATGTTTTCAGAAAGTTAGCCAAAGCTTTGGCAGAAAAACACCTAGGAAAGTTTCACTAGAGAGTCCTTCACCGCTACAACGATACTCCTGCTCATTCTTCTCATCAAACAAGGAAAATTTTGCAAGAGTTTTGATGGGAAATTGTTAGGTTTACAGTCCTGATTTGGCTATGGCTTTTTGTTTCCTAATCCTAAAAAAATTATGTAAAGGATACTCATTTTTCTTCAGTTAACAATGTTAAAAAACTGCATTGACATTGTTTAAGTTCCCAGGACTTTCAGTTCTTTAAAGATGAACTTAACGTCTGATACCATCACATACAAAAGTGTCATGACTTTGATGGAGCTTACATTAAGAAATAAAGTTTACATTTTCTATTTTATCCTTTCATTCAATTTTTTCACAAACTTTTAAAACTCCCTCTTGTGTGAGTTTGCAGTTTACTCACATAGAATCTTAAGTGTGCACTCTATTATATGTGGACTCCTTCATTCACCATAAAATTTCTAAGATTAATTCATGTAATTGAATGTATCAATAGTTCATTCCCTATTTTTTGCCAAGTAATATTACACTAAATTTCTCGAAGTATACCACATTTTATTCATTCTTTCAAATATTGATGAATGTTTGTGTTGTTTCTAGTTTTTGACAATTATACACTCTTCTATGAATATTTGTGCATAGATTTTTATGCAAACATACATTTCATGGATAAATAAATAGTCTTCTTGGGTAAATACATAGAAGTGAGATTGCTGGATTATGGTATGCATATGTTTCTAAGAAACTGCCACCTTTTTTTTTTTTTTGCAAAGTAGCTCCATAATCTTCCATTTCAGTAAACAATGTATGAGAGCTCCAATTGTTCTGCATATCCACCAGCACTTCAAATTGCCTTTTTCTTTGGCGACTCTCAGGTATGCAGTAGTAATTTTTTGTTTTAAATTTGCATTTCCTTAGTGACTAATGATGTTAGGCATCTTCTCACATGCTGATTTGCCATCTATATTTCCTCATTAGTGAAGTGTCTAGATATTTTGTCATTTAAAAAATAATTGGGTTGTTTTCTTATTGTTGAGTTTTTTTGTTTGTCTGTTTTGATAGGGTCTCGCTCTGTCACCCAGGCTGGAGTGCAGTGGCACAATCATGGATCACTGCAACCTTATTCTCCTGGGCTCAAGAAATCCTCCCACCTCAGCTTCCTGAGTAGCTGAGACTGCAGGTGTGCACCACCACACCTGGCTAATTTTAAGCATTTTTGTAGAGACCACGGTCTCACTGTGTTGCCCAGGCTGGTATTAAGCTCCTGGGCCTAAGAGATCCTCCCATCTCAACCTCCCAAACTGCTGAGATTAAAGGCCTGAGCCATTGAGCTCAACCTACTGTTGAGTTTTGAAAGCTATTTTACATATTTTGAATGCAAGAATTTAGTCAAATATATCTATTGAAAATATTTTCTACCATCCTGTCTTGTCTTGTCATTTTTTTAAGAGTGTTTTTAAAGGGTAAAAAATTTTAACGTAAATGGAACATAATTTATTAATTTATTTCTTTTATAGGTCAGACTTCTGCTGTCATAGCTAAATAACTATTTGCTTAAGATTAAAAATATTTTCTTATTAGTTTTCTTTTAGATGCTTTATATATACGCTTAAAAAATTTTATTCTATGATGAATTTTTAGTTAATTTTTGTGTAAAATGTAAGGTACGGATTGAGGTTAACTTTTTGTTTTTGTATTTTTGCAGATAACTATCCAATTACTTCAGTATCATTTGTTGAAAAGAGGAACTCTTCTCTATTGGTTTGCTTTTGCACATTTGTCACAAAGCTGTTGACTACATTTGCATAATCTATTTCTGTGTTTTTTTATATGACTGATCTGTATGTGTATATTTTTATCAATACCACAATATATTGATAACTTTAAACGTATACGTTTTGATGTTAAGTAGTGTGAGTGGTCCAACTTTTTCTTTTTCAAAACCATTTTGGCTTTATTAATTCCTTTGTTCTTTCCATATAAGCTTTAGATTCAGCTTGTTATTATCCATGAAATAGATCTTTTGAGATTTTGATTTGTATTGCATTGTGGCTATTGCTCAATCTGGGGAGAATTGACATCTTAGTAAGATTAAATCTTCCATTCCATGACCATAGTATATCTCTCCGTTTATTTAGATCTTACTTGTTTTCTTTTATCAGTGTGTTACAGTTTTCTGCATACAGACTCTATGCATATTTTATAAAATTCATTTTTTATATGTTACTGTAAGTGGCACTGTTTTGTAAATTTTGACCTCTATATTTTTGGAATTCAGTGCTAGTATATAGAAATGCAATTGATCTTTGTAACTTGATTGTGTATCCTGCAACCCTGACAAACTCACTTGTTAATTAGTTCTATGAATCTTTAAAAAATAGATTTTTGGAATGTTTTAGAGGAACAATAATGTTTTCAGAGAGAGTTTTATTTATATATTTTCAATCATCTTTTAAAAAAATCTTATTACATTGGCTGGAGATTTTGTAAAACATTGAATAGGAGTGGTGATGTGGGCATCATTGCCTTGTTCCTAAGCTTGGGGGAAAGTTCTTAGCTTTTCAACATTAGTAGCTATAGTTATTTGTTTGGTGTGTGTGTGTGTGTGTGTGTGTGTGAGATATGCCATTTATCATGTGGAAGTTTCCTTATTTTTTTAGATTCCTGAGGTTTTTTTTTTAATCATAAATAGATGTTGAATTTTACCAAATATTTTTGGTAGCTGTTGGCATTATCATATGGTTTTTCTTCTTTAGTCTGTTAATATTGTGACTTATGTTGATTGATATCTGAATGTTGAAACAAACCTGGGATATATCCCCATTGGCTATGACATATTATCATATGTAGTGGATTTGATTTTCTAATATTTTGTTGAGGAGTTTTGCATTTATGTTCATGAGGGATATTAGTCTATAGTTTTGTTTACTAGTAATGTTTTTGTCCAGTATTTTTTTACTCTTTAGCTGAGAGTCTGTTTTACCTGATTTTAATATATCAATTTCAGTCTTCTTAAGCTATTTAAGTGGTATATCTTTTTTCTTCTATTTACTATCTATCTTTATATTCAGTCTGTGTCTTCATATTTAAAACATTTTTCTCATAGACAACATAAATTTAATCTTGCCTTTAAAATAATCCATTCTGGGCCAGGCGCGGTGGCTCACGCCTGTAATCCCAGCACTTGGGGAGGTTCAGATGGGTGGATCACGAAGTCAAGAGATCAAGACCATCCTGGCCAACATGGTGAAACCCCGTCTCTACTAAAAATACCAAAAATTAGCCAGGTGTTTCTCACGCGCCTGTAGTCCCAGCTGCTCGGGAGGCTGAGAGGGAAGAATCGCTTGGACCCAGGAGTCTGAGGTTGCAATGAACTGAGACTGCATCACTGTGCTCCAGGCTGGCGACAGAGCAAGACTCCATCTCAGAAAAAAAAAAAAGGAAAAAAAAAATCCATTTTGATAATCTTTGGCATGCTTAGTACATTAGTGTCTAATGAAATTATTGGCATAGCTGAATTTAGTCCTACCAACTTATTATTTATTTGGTTGTTCTCTTTGCCCATTTTTCCTTTGCTATTCTCTTTCTGCCTTCTTTTGCATTATTTACATATATTTTAGAATTCGATTTTAATGTTCTGTATTAGATTTTGAGCAATATTTCTTGGTGTAATCTTTCTAGTTGATGTACTGTGCTTAGCTTTGTATTGGGTAAGTTAATTTAGAGTTAGTAATTTAAAGTTAATCTTATATCACTTTACATAAAATATATAATCCTTGCAATTATTTAGGTCCATTCGTTTATGCCTTTACCATGCTCTATGTTATGGTTACTATATGTATTACATATAGTACATACATTGTAAATTATATAAGGCAATACTAAAAGTTTGTCTTAAAAGTCATCTATATTATAATAAATCAAAAGAGGAAATGATCTTTTATAAGTATCTCTCTGTTTATTCTTTCCTGATTTTTCTCTGGTATCATGTCCCTTCAGCCTAAAAAACTTACTATAACATTTCTTGTGGTACAAGTCTGGTGGCAATGAATACCCTAAGTTTTTCATTATTTGAAAATATCTTTATATCAGCTTTACTCTTGAAAGACATTTTTGCAGGATAGGAAATTCTTAGTTAATAGGCTTTTTTTTTTTTTTTTGCCAATGCTTTAAAGATATTGTTTTACTGTATCTTTTTTTTTCTGATGAGAAACGATGATTATCCAAATAGTGTTGAATATAGTGTGTCATTTTCTTGGGCTGATTTTATAATTTTCTCTTTATCCTCGGTTTTTAGCTGTTTGACCACGATGTGCCTTAGTATGGTTCTTTTCAAATGTATCTTGTTTGAGATTTGTGGAACTAGTTTAATCTGCAAATTTAAGTCATTAACCAAATTTTGGAAATTTTTGGCTATGATTTCTTCAAACATGTTTTCTGTCCTGTTATTTTTCTCCTTTACTGACTACATTTACACATATGTTAGATCTTTTGAAGTTGTTCCATAGATCAGTGAGGCTATGTTCACTTTTGTATGCTTTTTCAGATTGTATGCTTTTTATTGATACATCTTCTAGTTATTACCTTCAGAGGAAAGCCACATAAAGTGAAAACTCATTGTGTTCCATGGTGTTCCTTGCTGGAGGCTTTAGCTCTCCTCCAACTGCCTGCTTTTGTTCAGTCTCCAGAGCCTGGGGTAGTTGTTTTTGTATTTTGTCCCGATCTTCTAACTCTTGCTTGCAGCAAGATCAGTTTTTCAGATGCTTATTTCTCATACAGTGAGGGGTATTATTTTTATATTGAAGTCAGCACAGATTTAACACAATTTCTGCAATCACAGACTGTACAATTTATGCAATCATATCCATAGACAGTTCTAAATAAATTTGTAATTATAGTTACCTAAGCTTTGTAAAAATAATTAAAGGTTAAAAGCTATTCATTACACCACAGTTAATTATACAAGAAAAGAACTCATACGCTCACAACATTTTTCACTGATTTATTCCTAGTTAACTAGAAACATCTTGCTGACTCTCAATGCCTTGGTTTCTTTATCAGTCAAAAAATAGCAAAATACATTAGCTTGTCCTGATAAATATTCTAAAAATGTTGCTTGCAAAAACGTGTGGTTAAATGCACTTGGGATATGTAAAACTAAACAGAGTTGAATAGAACTTTTTGGAGTGTTTTTCAAAGCCCCTAATATACTAATATGTGTTTTGAGTTTCCAAATAGAGGACAAAATTAGTATTACTTAGTTTTCCTTTTTTCTCAGTCTTTAATATGGCTTAGGATGCCACTGTTACTGATGCTTTTTAAAAAATCTTGATATTTTATTAATTATGGATTTTCCACATGAATTTTATCTTGTAAATGAGGCTGTATTAAAATATTGTTTATCTTGATTACTGAGTTTTTTGATGTCCCCTTGAATTTTGCACTGGAGGCAAGTACTTTGTTTACCTCACGTGTCTCACCTAACCCTGCACTGTCAGCAGCTGAACGGATAGACTTACTAATACAGTGTTGTATTTCTTAATACATTAAATCAAACAAACTTATCAGCTTACAAGACCCTCAATAGTTTGGCTTTTATCTTATGAACCTTATCTCACTCTTTCTCTACTTCCTTCTTGTCATATGAGTGTTTTGCACTTACTCCTCCCACATAAGCATTTGTTCCTTTTCCAGCCAAAGCAAGAATGTCTCCCCCTCTCCATTTCTTCTCCTCAGCTAATTCAAATCCTTTTTAAGAATGCTGCTTAAATCTTTCTTTTTTAATTAACTTTTTTATTGCATTTTAGGTTTTGGTGTACATGTCAAGAACATGCAAGATTGTTGCATAGGTACACACCTGGCAGTGTGATTTGCTGCCTTCCTCCCCATCACCTGTATCTGGCATTTCTCCCCATGCTATCTCTCCCCAACTCCCCACCCCCCACTGTCCCTCCCCTATTAACCCCCAACAGACCCTAGCTGCTTAAATCTTATTCCCTCCTTTAAAGCTTCCCTGATCTCTGGAGGAAAGTCACAGACTTTCTCCCTTTGTTGATTTATTGTTAATGTATTTACCAGCAATCACACACAACTTGGTCCTGAATTACATGCTGCCTACCATGATTTCTTGATTTTCTCATGCGTGCATGTCTTGTCCCTTCTGTGGTCCAGGGCCCATGTCTCACACTTAAGAATCCTTTAACACAAAGCATGTGTGGAACCACACAGGGCTCAGTAACTATTGTTAATATGATAGGTTGCTCCAGAATCCAAGTCAATTTATATGTGCTTTATTATCATGGTATCCAAACCTTTCCAGCTGGTTGGGGGATAGAAATGGGGTTTCTGAACAAGAAGAAACTCCAGTATGACTTTACAGGCCAGACAAAAAATGGACTCACAAGGCAATGAGTACCTTGAACTCACTCTTGTTCTTTTGATCTTTGCTTTTCTCTTCTTCTTACCCTTAAGTTATGGGGGGATCCGTAATCTCAGGCTCAGTTGGATTTGGGATAAACTTATACCCATCAGCTTTGAACACAACTCTAAATTCTAGGTGCAAACATACGGTGAATTCCTGATGGACTTGCACATTTATGGACACTTTCCTTCTAGCCACATGTAGATCTAATACCTGTGGTAGACTAGGCACCAATATGCCTCCCACAGGTATAAACGGCAGAGCTGTTCCCTTCTGGAAATGTAGGACTGAACAGGACTATACCCAATGAGGTAGTGAGTGGGGTTATGTATGTTCTTGTAACATGTTGTTTCTCTTCTATAAGCTGAGTTGTTTCATCTTGTCCTTTACCAGGAGCCCAAAATCATGCCGGGCTTCCTGCCCCCAACTTTATCTCCATACCAAGTTAATTACCTGTCTTACCTGCTGTGAATGTTGCAACCAGGAGGGAATGGATGTTCAAAGGGCACTTCATGGCTTACTGAAGTTTTTCTCCAGCATTTATCTGAAGCTTACATGGAGAGCAAAGGACCTGACCTAATAAAGAGAAATCTGATATAACCCTCTCAGGCTTCTTTCTACTGAATTGTTCTTCAATATGAGAAATAGAGTCCATATTTTGTGCAAAGAAAATTATAATCAATTGGACAACAAATTGATTCTCCAAGTCTTTCTTTTGATCATAACCATTTATCAATGGATGCCTCATTTTGATATAGCCTGAAATAAAGAGTACAGTCTAATGCTGGTTTGCAAATTAATCCTCTTTAGAAGGGGTAGTTTAGGGCTTTTTGAATGGGCAAGAGACTGCCAAATCCAATGCCTTCTGGGATAGACAAGTGAAAAAACATGCTTGGGAAGACAGCTGGACTACTCTAAGGGGCTTGGGGAAAGCCATTTTTGTCCTCATGGTGTCTGTATTGTAGTAATGAACATGAGACTAGGGAATGAGATTCAATTCATAGGTCAGCTGTTTGTTTGATTGTGATGATCCTTTGCCAGTTCCCAGGATCCCTGAAGGTTAGCCACTTGTACCATCACAGGTAACTCTGCCTCCAGGCAAACACATTGTATGTACCATTCCAGTTTTTCTCTCAATTACTTGGTGAGCTGGGCTGATGGCTCAGCTTCAGACAGGGCTAATTCTGACATCAAAAGCAGGTAGAGGAGACTTTTTGATCCCCTTGCCTTGGGGCACTCTCTATTTTCAGCCTCCCAGGTGATGAAAGGTGAAGAGAGATAAAATCAAGGAAGAGTACATCAAAAACTAAGAGATGAAGGATTTTCTTGTTAATATCAAGCTCAGAGGTCACCTAAGTCAATTTATATGTGATTTATTTCTTTTTTCTTTTTTCTTTTTAATTGCATTTTAGGTTTTGGGGTACATGTGAAGAACATGCAAGATTGTTGCATAGGCACGCACATGGCAATGTGGTTTGCTGCCTTCCTCCCCATCACCTATATCTGGCATTTCTCCCCATGTTATCTCTCCCCAACTCCCCACCCTCTGCTGTCCCTCCCCTATTTCCCCCTGACAGGCCCCAGTGTGTGATGCTCCCCTCCCTGTGTCCATGTGTTCTCATTTTTCAACATCCACCTATGAGTGAGAACATGCGGTGTTTGATTTTCTGATCTTGGGTCAGTTTGCTGAGAATGATGGTTTCCAGGTTCATCCACGTCCCTACAAAGGACACGAACTCATCGTTTTTGATGGCTGCATAATATTCCATGG